TTTTCAAGAATCCTATTAATGGCATTGTTGCCATTATGGTTGTTATCTTTAGCCATTGTTTGGTTGGGAGTTGTAACTTGCAAATTTTCCCTTCAAAGTCTTCGAAAAGTTCTTTCTACTTTAGATCAAAAGAAACAATATTCAAGTTTCTTCTCTTTTACATATAATGACAAAATATACCTGAAAATACAAAAAAATAAAGTTTGAAGTATAATATTAACAAAAATTCTAGAAAATAATTCCTCGACAATGGCGTCAAAAACTTATTGTGTAATTTTTCACCCACACAAGTATACGTATCAAACAGATAATATAATAGCAAGTAGAGTGTCGATCCCACAAAGAATTGATCTACAATTTTGCTAAGTACTAAAATTATAACAATTTAGTCTTATCCAAACAATCAAAATCAATTAATTAAACTAAAAATTAAACAAAACTAAATCACAATGAACTAAACTAAAAATCACAACAATAATAATTAGAGAAAAATCAATCTAAATAAGTCTAGGATTACAATATCCCTCACACTGCATCTAAATCTCACCTACCTCTCTGAACCTATTTCAATGGATTGATTTGCTAACTTAAAGTTTTTAATTATTTATAGAACTTTCCCAAAACTCTAATAAAAATATATAATTTAATCAAAACACCATATTCTTATGTGAAATAAAATTAAAACAAACTCATTAAGTTTAAGCTCTAATCTTGGTTACATACAGCATATAGGGATATTTCTATCTTATACACAAATCAATTCATTCGTCCAAGTAAGTAAATATGATTATATGTTATTCCAACCTTGGCCTACACTAAACTCTTTTTCCCAAGTTATGTTTAGGTTTCCAAATCAATTTAATTGGTATTTAAGCAATTAAAAACATTTAGAACAAATTGGAAACACAAAACAATACTATTGAAAATAAGCAAGAAAAATATTAAAAATTTAGACTACATGTGGGTTCAATTGTAATTCTAGATAAAAGGAATTTAGCTACTCATAATTTAAATAAAAATCATCCAAAGTTTAACCATCAAAAATTACAAGAATAATAAAAGAATAGTGAAAAAGATAACAAAGATTGTCAGCTTTGATCTTTATTCTTCCACTTTGGAGGCTTGGCTTCTTGAATTCTAGTGGCTAATGTCTTTTAAACTAAAAACTCCTCCTTATTCCTAAACCTAGCATAATTAACTAATTATAGAGGCTTAGAATAGGCGTTAAAACCTTACTATGACTCTCTTGTCTTCCAAAACTTGCATATCACGACCCAAACCCAAAGGTCCATGACTAGCACAAAAGCTTTGCAAATGAAGCCCACGAAACCCAAGCAAGCCTTAGAACATCAAATCACATAACACACAACCAAAGGATTTCAAAGCCAAATATTCATAAATAAAATGTACTTCCAATATAAAACATTATCCTTGGCATTTAATTTATATATAATACTCATAAGGCCATACATTAGCCATCAAAACGGGTTTGTACTTAACAACCCTTAATACAAGTTCAAATGGCACAACGTGCTTACATGAATAACTAAACCAATCGCAAAGCGAAAGCTCACAACATATGCAGCAGAGTGGACATATTGGGTAAAGACCTACCGGATGCCAAAATCAATCTGTCAATGGATAAACTTTGTCACGCATTGTCTAGTAGCCTATTTATCTGCACATGGTATGAAAAAAATGAATCATTTAATACTCATTGAGTGTTGTAGATAAGCAAAATCATATATACACATACAATCACATATAAATATTTCACATACCAGTGCATCCAAATGTTCTAACAAACATCTCCAATTATACGGCATATCATAATTCCTAAAGTCTCCAAATATGATGATGCATATCACCGACCAATCCTTAATGCAATTACATTACACCCATCAACTATAATGTGATTGTATTGCAATCTTACATTACGTTCACTTATTCCAAAATAAACGCTGCAATATAATTTAATTGGACATATTACAAGGAAAGTGAGTGCATATCCTTAATACCAAACACCACCTATGTACTAGAGATGTTATTTAATCATATAGCATCTTCTTGATTAATTTATTGCATTTAGTAAAAACGCTATAATAAATTAGTGATGGAGGAAACTTGAGAATTGTTAGTACATGAAACATAAACCTAAGCTGAAAGTCACATTTAAGGGGTCGAACATGGAGGTGGAGAAGAGCTTTTAGATACTAGAAGAGATTAAAGAGCTGATCGGATCAATGACGATGGTTAACATATTGCGAGAAATAAATGAGTGTGTGGATCATTTAGCAAAGACAAGTATTACGCAAAAAAGGATGCAGGTAGCAAAGGTTTGAGAGCAAAAATCAAGTCTCATAACCAATGCCAATGCTAATTGTAAATCTTGTCTTCTTTGAATGACCCTATTCACTTTTAGAGGCCATGCGTATTCTTCACTTTGATAAGGGAATTCAAACAGGTTTCGAAGGAGGCCACCTTTCATGATTGTCAATGGATTTATGAGCTGATACGAGGGGCACGATGTTGCTTTCCCTTAGTCTCACGTTTCTACGTTGATTCAGTCTAATTGGTTTGGAAAAACTCTTATTTACAATGGATAGTTTCGGCTGTGACTATTTTACCGAGTCTTTGGGTTGTACATGTGGGGACTTTGCTAGTTGTTTTTGTTCATTTTGTATAGCCATGAGTTCTTGTGAACATCAGGAGGATGAACATCCAAAGGTTGATTTTAAAGGGATGGATATTTTGAGATCGTGGTTGGATGTTCTTAGTCCCTAGGCAACACGTTTTAGTGCAAGGATTCTGGTATGTTGTATGCACACCGCTGGTGTGATTCATTAGGTTCAAATGCCTAAAAACACATGTTCTCTTTATGGAGGGTTACAATTAAAGTAATCCTCTTTTGTTTCAGTGAAAAAATTTTAAGCTTAGAAGTATCTCTTTAGTGCAAGGATATATATATATAACCATTCAGTTCAACTGATTTCCAGTATAACAAATACTATTACCAAGATTTAGAAGCAAACTAGTTTTTTTTGCGTTTGTTAACTCGAACATTACCTAAATTTGTAATTAAGCTCTTTGTGATCTTGTCAAACTTCTAATCAAGTATCAGTACACTCCTTATTGATAGAAAGCTTTTTGCCATCATGGTTAAAAAAAGTGGCTTGCTTCCATTATTCATATATGCCCTTGAGCCAATTAGATTGGTCAAGGAATATATATTGTCATTTAATGCATATTTAATCACATAATTTTATGTGATATAAGTTTTCCTTCATGTTAGTGCAATAATAAGGAGTTATTAAGTACTAATTGGATGAAGCACATGGAACATAAAGGCCTTGCAAGAGAATTATAAAGTTGTTATAATTATGAAATCACTATGCATCAAAGCCATGTTCCTAAAATTATTCTTGGTCATTGTATTGTCAAGACAAGGCACTGATAATGCTCAAAGACTGATATATGTTAAGCCTCCTTATTTGGAAAGTAGCAATCGATCTCATAGATTGAAGTATATGGGATACTTAATGATAATATGTAGGTGCTTGTGAAAAAACAAGTTCACTGAACATGACCCGCTATGAGAACTCCATTTGGTATTTCACTCAACTGTCTATGAAAAATGTTCTCATGTGATAGTCGTGCAACTAGTCCTTAGACTTGAGACAGTAAGTCATCTTGTATGGAGAATGACATATTTTGATTTCACCCCTGTGGGTTTGGACGCAACCAAATGCCTAAACAGGGTATTTTTGGGTATGCCATGAAGCATGCAAAGGTGAATGAGTGGTCAAGAGAGGATTCATCACCCCAAGTGATATGAGGGGATGTATCTCACTTGTTCTCAATTCTTGATTAACTTGTATAAAGTCTTTGGCCAAAGCATGATGAATTTGAGAAAAATTAGTTTCCTAAATTCATAAGGTTAGTCATGAATTATGAGAACTGATATGAAATGTCATAAGTAGACACTGAGCCATGCTTAATGACATATCCGAGATATTTGATGAAATGACTGTATTGCGCTGAAAGGCTTATCACTGAAGGGCTTTGTCAAATTCTTTAATTGACACTCTGACATTTGGGTGGTCATGATGTGTTGTTAGATACCGCTCATGGTCTATAAATATAAATTAATTATCAAATTGCTATTTGATTATAATTTATATTTATTGTCAACAAGTTAGAAGTCTAATGGGTCACACAAATTAAGTGATATGATTGGGATTAAATAAGGATAATTAATCAAGTTAGACTTAATTTAAAGAGATCAAAATAAAGTGAGAAATTAATTAAGTTCTCAGGGACTTAATTTAATTAAAATTCAACTGTTGTATTTAGGGTTAGAAATTAGTTTGGCTATATAAATATGTTATATTAGCAAATTAAAAGTATGAAGCCTCCAACCACTTTTTAGCCATTTCATAAGATAAGAAAAGAAAAGATAGTTTTCTTTGTCTGACAAAAATAAGATTCGGCAAAAATTTTGATCCTTTTGTTTTAGAAACAAAACTTGCTAGCACAAGTAAAATCCTACCTTGGAGAAGGTCTTATTCAGTCACTGTATGGATTACTGTTAGAGGTCAAACACTTGAGTAGCTGAAGATTTGACAAATCCTAAAGGTAAAGAAGCAAAGATTTTTGGATTTAATTGGCTCTTGATTACGATATCTAGAGTAAAGTATGTAACTCTTAAACCTATGAGTGTTTATAATTTATTTTAAAGTTACATGAAAAACACAAATATTGATCCCGTAGGATTTGACTGTTTCTCTGATTAAATGTTAATTTATTTTTTTGTTATGTTATATTTTAATTTATTGATTATTTTTCATGTTTGAGCATAAAGTTGAATCCCAGCATCCAGTTCTAGTCTACTGTCTTATCAGCAACAACATAACGGAGGCTCACGCCATAACATTATTAATGTATGATGGTCAAAGATTCCCTTGCTGTAAATTGGTCAAGGGACAAACTAAAAGCTATACTTACGAAGCCAAGTAAGGATTTTCATTATTGTCAACAATAGCTTCCTTTAGCCATTCGCAAAATTGATCAACCTCACCTGGATGTGGTTCAATGCCAGAACCTCTGGTTGCATCTGACTCCTCATCAAGAACTTTCAACAAATTAGCCAACTCTGGTGAGTGTTGGTGCTGACTTTCAGAAGGTGCTGATGGAGTAGCCGCATGTGCTGTAGCGTCCACCCCTGAGTCTCCACCAATGATCTCTGTTAGAAATTTGTTTGCATCGGGCATTGCGCGACATTGTGCAACGGTAGAATTTATTCCTTGTGTTGGTTGAGAAGATGATACAAAAACTTGACCCTGATTCAGTGAAACGCTAGTAGGAGTTGAATCTGGAATAAAATTTTGCATCTGAGGCACAAACTGATGCACGTCTGGAAACTGAGGCACATTGGGAAACTGTTGAGTTTGATTTGGTAAATCTGTGAAATCAGAACCAGCAGTAAAATTTAGGTTCTGGTTCATGTAGGGAAGCATGCTTGGGAACTGTAGAGTCAGATTGAAAGAACTAACTGGATCAGTTGAATCCAGTGTTACATTTAGCTTTTGATTCATGGTTTGAGGCACCATCGGAAACTGCTGATTTTGATATAATGAACTGATAGGAGCAGTTGAATCTTGTACCAGATTTGGAAATTGAAAAGAGTCTGCCAAAAACAATAAGAGAATGATATCTACAGTCATATATCTCAAATTTGATATGTTCATTAATTTAGATTTAGCATTGCCTCCCAAAAGGCTCTTTCTCAGTTTGCATTTTCACTTTATGTTTACATGATTATATTATTATGTGATCACTTCTATTTCAATATAAACATTGCAATACCAAGACTGTGGATGCTAAAATAGGTTTCCAGAGAAACCCAAAAACGTTTTAGCTCTTATGTTGCTCTTACAAGTACAAGGACATGAGTGGGTGTTCTTTTTTTCAATATTTGGGTAGTCCTATGCTCATGCCAAGTCAATTTCAAGGTGTCTGTGTATATTTGTCAAAACTACAACTAGAAATATAAACTTGTATCATCCTTAAGTTACCAACAGAATTTAAAAGAAATTGTGAAAGATAACCCTCTTTATAAGCTGATTTCAAAAATAGTTACCCAAAATTTAATACTACTAATAAGTATACAATCTGGAACTTGTTAAAAAACTATTGTATTACCTCTAATTGAGAAGTCGGCACTTTGGTGTTCCAGATGATTCAAGATTGACTTGTTCTTCTGCAGCATGTCGAAAAGTCCTGCTTTCCCATATTTGCTTGTGCATGCATTGCTAACCGCGGGTAAATTACTGGTCCTAGGTGTCGAAAGACGCGGCACTTGGGCTTTATATTTCTGGGATAAGCAAAAAATCTCATTGAACGATCTTAAACCAACATAATAGCAGCAGGCAGGCGCGGAGCCCCCTTATGTGATGCCCCCAAAACTTCTAAAAATTTTTTCATAACATATAAAAGTTTTTAAATTTTTTTATATATTCTATTAATGATCTCCTCAAAATAATTTTTTATTTAATAATTAATATAACTAATAAAATAATTTCACATAGCTCACTCAATTTTAAATTTTTTTTCAATTTGTATTATTATTTTTATTTATATTTATTTTTTTCATTTTTATTCTATTTGTTCATATATTATAAGTTCTATAAATTTTTTGCTCCAATTTCTACAAACCATTAACCATATTCTTTTTTTTTTTTGTTATGTAATATGTGGTATCTACCTTCTACTTGTCATATTCTTCATTTTTATATTACAAAGATTTTATTTTCTATGATTTTAATCTATAAAAATTAATAAATTATTTTATAATTCTCAAATATAAGTTGTAATATTATATTGTTATTTAAAATTTCATCAATATATCATTTTTTTATTAATCCAGACTATGTAAGAGAAAATTAACTTGAGTATTTTTTTTATATGCTTTACGTTTTATATTTAATTAAAATAAAATTATCTTGAATATTTAGTATTTAAATAATTCTGATTATATAAGGAGAAATTATTAATTTTGTATATCATTTCTTTCGATTCATATTTTACAAATTATAGTTTTATATTTAGTTTCATATTTCTATTATCGATATTTTTATTGTTGATTGAATTTAACATATTAGTTTTTTTAAAATTTTTAACCCTTATTCTTTTGTATTTGTAATCTATAGAAAGGAGAAATATCTTACATGCTATAGCTTGTAATCGAAAGTGAGAGTGAAGCATATATAAAAAGGAGACAAAAGGGGGATAAAGGAATTTAGTAATACCAAGTTTATTGCAAATTGTTGTTTTAAGGTTCTTTATCTCATTTTTTTTAACAACTTAATAGGTCAAAGTAGGGATTTGTATCCCCTTAAACTAACCTTTCAAGAAAATTTTCATCACATTAAGTCACAGGGTTATCTTGAAGTTAACTACAAAGAAAGATGGCATATCGACCTTGACAAACAGTTGGTCCCACAGATCTTCTTGGAATACAATTTTGTATGTAAACAAGCTATATTGCATAGGCACTTTTGTGGATTATGCAGAACATGGAATCTGTATTCACATATATGAGATTGTGAACTACTGGGAATACCATGGTTTTACGCTTAAATCCTAAAATAATGAAATGGAATTACTTCACTCTTCCTAGTTGAACATTTATAGCTATGAAACACATCATGCATGCAAGAGAATATAACTAAACAACAATTCATGGAAAAAGAGATACACAAAGAAAAAGAAAAGTATAATTGACGGATGGTAGAAAGGAACCTGCAGATGGCTAGCAACCTGGCGATGTGTCAAAGTAGGCTCATTCATCATCTGTAATATTGATTTCGGACGAGCATCTAGATCCAGAAAAAGGTATATTAGCATTTCATTGGAGCATGTTCAATTAACATACAACTTATTAAGGAAAATAAAATGCAACGACGAAAATTTGGATTGCTTTTAGAGATAGTAATGTTACTCTCATCGCCTAATGCACTAAGGGCTGCTGTAAACTTGTGGTGGAGCTCCGGATTCCAAACAAGACGCGACTTCTTCCCTTTGGGGGACCTACTTTGGTTGTTCTTCTCATCTTTCCCTCCCTCTTGTTTAGCGGTTTCCGCTTTTCCAAAGTCAGCAAGCTCAGGGTTTGGTTTATTTCTCTTGTTTTCTCTCTTGTCTTCTTTATCAGCGTATGATTTCTTTGTCTCGGATGAGGGTTCTCCATGTTTTAGGTTCTCTTTGGCCAGCATATGTTCAATGGGAGTTTGCTTCAATCCCATTACGCAATTTGTCTTTGGGATGCGAACATCTGTCTCAGCTACTTCCTTGTTCTTCCCTTTTGGATCATTGGTCTCATCAATGCCAATGAAATTATAATTTCTAGCGACTGCAGACTTAGACTGACTAGCCACCTCCTTGAACTTTATAGCTTGGTTCTTGACGTTTCGATATGCATGTTGCCAAAGGTATGTAAGATCACTGAAGGAAATTGGTTTCTGGAGATGTAACGATGCCCCATAAGCAATGGCTTTTTGGGCAACATTCTCACTTCTTTCAGAGGACATCACTGCATGCATATGTGGTAGCTAAAATTAAAAGATAGTTCACTTGAAAATATGGAACTGATCTAAACAAAACCTAGCGAGTGCAAATACAAATAAATTTCCGAGTTGAAGTAATATTTGAAACTCACCTATGACAGGGATACCCTTCTTAAGCAAAGCACGCAGAAATGAAAGACTATTCTTGTCCTCCATGTCAATATTAGCCATAACAAGCTTAAAGCTGTTGTTTCCTTGCTGAATCATGGAGACTGCAACCGACGGTAGCACAGTCGTTGTCACTGCAAAATAACAGATTAAAACAATTTTGATTTAGTAACACCTAGATTGTAGATCAAGCTCTGTAAGATACAAGAGATAGAGTTTCTTGTACCATATAGTGCTATATCAACAACGATTTTTGATAATTCGATTTATTCCTAATCAAGACAAGCCTATCCTTGACAAGCTTGGAAAGGAAAATATACAAAATAAAACATTAAAACAATCAAACTGTACAATAAATGTAGTCAAATAAAATAAAAAACAACTTCTACTACTATTGTATGATAAAACTACGTTTACGTTGAATAAGATTTTATTAGTACCCTTTTAGTTCATCACAGCTATTAGTTCAAGATAAATAGATTAGGCAAACCATTTATTGCACAACACAAAAATATAAAAAGAGCTGTGATAAACGTGAAATGTGCGTTTCACTTGCGTTTTTTTATAGACCTCTGACGTGTATGCATGACTCAGAAATTAAATTGCTTTGACTCCATAATTCTTATCAACCAGGCCTCCCATCTCTACAAAGAAAGCTCTTCAAGCAAACCCGTACTCCATATAAACAATTGTTTGTTTTCACTTTTTACATATTTTCTTTGAATATCTTTATTGATATATACATACTCATGCACATGAATTTTTCTTTAAAAAAAAAACAAGTACACTTAGAAAATAAAAAGTTAATTAAGTTGATATCTTTCTTGATATATAATTAACTTATATATATTCACACACCTGATTTTTTTTTTTTTGAAAAAACGTAAGTGTACAAGTATTGATATATAATAAACTCATCCATGTTTACGTGCATGAAGATACATATTTTGATTACAATATAAATTGAATAGAAAGATTAACATAATTAAATTATAATGTTAAAAGTTGCAGATATCATGAATTCAGATTTTGATATATAATCAATCATGTTGTCAAAATTTTTTTACTCATAAAGGCAAAAATTTCAAAACAAAAGTCGATTGCTTATTACCCTTGTATGAGTATCTTTCTAGCATGGCTGCTAAGTACATGAGAGATGTTGTGTCGTGATCCACCAGCAGAATAGGAAGGCCACGACTACATCTGGGGATTTTGCTTCTTGATAACTCCTTCATGGCTTCCAAAAGACAACACTGGATCTAAAAGAAAAAGAGAGAAAAGCTTGATTCCTTGACCGAGAAAATGATGAGATACGAAAAGAAAATCAAACAAAGAAGTGAATAACACGAGAGAAAAAGGCAGTGAAGAAGAGAACGATTAGAGCAAGAAACTTGAACCCAAACAGGAAAATTATAAAGCAAAAGGAAATTGAGTGGGAGTAGCATGAACTTTGGGAGGTGCCTTGGAGACACCAATACTACAACAAATCCTCTTTGGTAGTCATTGTGGGCCACACTCTAACAAGCAATTAATAGAGTCAACAGTATAGGTTTCTAGCTGAACGTTTTATTAAATAAGAGCACACGGAAATGGAAATCAAACTACCTTACCATCTGAGGGGTAAAGTTTTTATAATTTTATTTTAAGTTAAATTAGTTTTTATATTTTTATTTGGATAAAATACCCCCACCTTCAAAGTTTTAATCAAAATTTCAAGCAAGTTCATTAGTTTTTAAAATAAACATTTTGTTTCAAAAATGCAAACACGGTTAACAGAAATTAAGAAAAAACTAAAATACTTTTTTTTATTAATTTAAAAAATTATAATTATATTTTTAAAAAATTTCGAAAAAAAAAGAAGGCAACTCCTCGAGAAAGGAGAGCACCAAGGGAGGGAAGCATCAATCGATGCTCCCCATTTGAAGAGGTTTTTTTCTCATTAATAAAAAATTAATAAAATTATATAATAGTAATTTTAAAAAATAAATCATGAGTAAAATTATCTTTTTACTTTTGCCACATCATCAAATTGACGAAAACATTAACAGTTGACTAACAACTAGACTTAAGCATCTAGCAACAAATTTTTTTTTAAGTGAAGTATCCATTTTTGAAACTAATAGACATCCGTATGATTTCAATCAAAACTTAGGAGAGTAGGGGTATTTTACCTTTTTTTATTTTGAGTCAAATAACTCTATATTTTTGTTTTGAGTCAAATAAACACTTATAACTAATTATTGATTTAATCAAAATGCAATTTGTTATTCTATGTAACATGACGCTGATATAGCATGCTAACTTGTTTTAATTGATAATGAAGTGACATATTGATATATTATAATTGATAATGACGTAACATACAAATGTAGTATGATAATATAACCATGTAACTTTTTTACATTCCACGTCAACACCTTGTGATTGTTATATGGATATATCTCTAATGTTTTTTTTTTTGAATCAACCAATTTATTAATAAGCTGATCATGTGCCACTAGAAAAAGCACTTAATCATTATATCCAATGAGGATCAATGGATAAGTGATAAACCATAAGTTCACCTATAATTGATACAAGTATACAACAATGCTAGAGAAATTACATTCATACCTAATGGCATAATTCAGAGAGATACATGAAAACCAACACTTCATACTAAGAAAAACACATCAGCAAAAAAAAAAAGGAGAACGTGAATAGGGGATGAAATAGCCCGAACCCATGATCAGTGAAGCATTCCTCCAATGGTTCCTGAAAGAGAAAAAACTCGAGGCTCTTTGATCTCATAAATATAATCACCGCCATGCAAAGAAAAACTCACCTCTTTCCACCCCAAATTTAGCCAACGAATCCACCAAGGAATTTGCATCTCTGAGAGTGCATAAAGCTAACACAACCAGCTTTCCTCAGAGTTTGTCGATCTCATTAAAAACTTCCCAATACTTCCAATTTCACTACTGTTCATTCTCCACCCATGCCATTGCCACTCTTGAATCGGATTCAATCATTAAATTCTTCATTTTGGCTCATGGTGTTTCCACAAATAATTGTAGGGCGTATTTAATAGCCATAAGCTCAGCATAGTTCGACTCATGAATTCCGAGTGGGCCAAAAATTAGTCCCACAATGGTACCTTTATCATCACGAAGTACTCCACCGCATCCCGCAAGTCTCGATTTGCCTCTAGCTGAACCGTCAGGAAGTTTAGCAGGGCCTGCACCAAGCCGAAGCAACAGTTTTAAAGCTTCTTCAAATAGTGATTCTTCAATAGCTGGTGGCAATAATGGATTCAACCTGAGAGCACCTGTTTTGCCTCAGAATCTCCATTTGCAGGATGATATAATTTCGGATATAGCTCACGAGTTCACGGAGATTGGGTTTTTTAGCAATGACCCTGATGATAATAAGGGTTATGGCTGGAAGGCATGACTAACATAGTTTGGCTCAATTAATGGCTTCTATTGGGTGAGTATTGGCAGGGGCGGAGCCTTCTTTACTTTTGCCCTCACCTCCCAAATTTTTAAACTTTTTTTTATATTATATGAAATTTTTAAATTTTTTTATATATTTCTTTAATGACCTTTCCAAAATAATTTTAAATTTAATAATTCATACAAATAAAAAATAACAAAATAATTTCATATGTCTCAATTGTAAAGTTTTTTTTCTCAATTTATATTATTGTTTTTATTTTATTTGTTTATTTCTTTCATTTCTATTCTATTTATTCATATGATTTAAAGTTCTATTGATTTTCTTCTCCAAATTCTACAAACCATCAATCATTTTTTTTTCATTATGTCATATGTGAATTCTATCTTCTACTTACCACGTTCTTCTTTTTTCTGTTATATAGAATTTATTGTCTATGAGTTTAATTTAAAAATTAATAAATTATTATGTAATTCTTAAATATAAGTTGTAATGTTACATTGTTACTTAAAACTTCATCAATGTATCATTTTTTATTAATCCTAATTATATAAGAGAAAATTATATTAAATATACCTTTTTTATATGTTTTACATTTTATATTTAATTGAAAAGAAATTATCTAGAATATATAGCATTTAAACAATTTTGATTATATAAGAGGAAATTATCAATCATGTATATTGTATTTAACTATTTATATTTTATGTATTATAATTTTATATTTAGTATTATAAGTTTAAATAGAAATAAATAAGAATATTGGAGGTTGGCTGCATTAATTTCTTTTAAGTTTGATTAAAGTATAAGTAAGTTTAAAACAACTGATAAATTCTTTAAAGGAAAATATTCAAATCATCCAAATGATTCTCTTACACTTAATCTACCAAACCTCAATGCTTCAACTCATGAATAAGAATAATGTAAATCAAAATATCCAAAACTCAATCCTAAAGAAAATGAGAGTTTTTCAATACGTAATTAATAATTGATAAATTTGAATCCGAGAAACATAGTCCAACACAACTTTTAGACTATTGTAAATTTTTTTTTTATTTACATGTTATATAAAATTATTATTTATTATCAATCTTTTGATTTGTTGGAAAGTGGGCTTACCTTTTCAGATAAATATTCCACTCTCTTTTTTATCGAAGAAGCTTGCTTTACAAATCCTCTTTCATGTACACAATAATTTCTTCACTCTCGTTGTAATGGAGCGGCTACTAGAGTCCTCCATAAGGAATTACACATTCCAAAACCTCTGGCCTTTGATGGTGCCTCAAGAATGAAGAGAAAGAAAAAGAAAAAAGAGTTTTTTTTTTGTTTTTTTGACTCACAGAAGAACTCATGTTCACTTTTTTTCTGTGTATTGAAACTAGTATGTTTATGCACTATTTATAGACAGTATTAGGGATATAGAGATAGGATATTATGTTTAAATTTAAATAAATTAAATTTAATATAATTAATCCTTATTTAAATTTAAACAAATTAAATTTAAATATAATAGATAGATAATTTAAATTTAAACAAATTAAATTTAAATATAATAGACAGATAATTTAAATTTAAACAAATTAAATTTAAATTTATATCCTATCTCAAACATTCAATTAAGTTATATCAGAACAATATCTAATATTAATCAATTGAATATTACTTAATTATCTACAAATAATTAATAAAGTTGCATGCTATGTGGACGCACCACATTTAAATGTAACATCTCCCACTCGTACACATTGGCATCAACTTATACCATTCTCAATTTAACTCATTCTCCATTCATTGTCATACAAGGAAAATGGAACGTGCGACCAACAAGAAAATAAAGGTACCGGTGAGCAGTGAGATATTAAGTTACCATCTTACTAACATAACACCATTGAAGTTCTCGTCATACCCCAAATCATTTTAATCACACAAGATTTTGCATCTATGATCTCTCGTACATGTAAGAGCTATACAAAATCTCTTTATGTGTCTAAACTCAATTTTATATCTAACAACTAATGTTTTTTTATAATCGCTCGGGCAATGAGTTATAGACCATGTATGTGAGATGTATAATAACTCTTTTTTAGATACTCATGTCAATCCATTAAGATCTGATTGCTTTCCTAGTCATGTTTTGCTAGATCATATCATTTTTTATCCTTGGAAATCATGCTAAAGTAGCAACACCAAATCTCAACTTCATATCATACATCTAAGTCTAAAGGGTATAAAATTTGGACTACATAAGTCCTCAAGGCTCACATAGTGATGAAGCAGGGATCTATTCAATCACTCCTTTCCATCGGTCAACTAACAGCATATACAGTATGAAATGTACGTTATGATGGATCTTTCATCTAGGGTTTGTCACGTTGAAAGCACCATACAGATCTTGGTCCAATCCCTTCAAAAGAATTGACTTGAATCCTCTGAGATTCAAATCCGGCTATTACTGGCTACATGGAATATGGATAATCTCCATGTTTGACTCTTACGAGCCTCAACCTGACTCTAAGTCAAGGTGACATTGCTAAGATCCTTTCTCACAACTCATGTGACAAGGAGATCACAAAATGCTTGGTACCTTGTGATCGTTTAAGTCTTATCGCACACATCACTGAAGCGTTGGGGCGATTATCCCGTGTGAGAGGAATAATCTATAAAGCTAGGTGACACTAATTACTTTAGATATGTGCGCTAATTAATTAACCACATTTGATCAAATGATTCAAAATAGACTTAATTTATTAATTGTTCATAAACAATAGTACATGAATATCAAATGCGTAGCAATCCTAAA